CTTTCAGTCTTAAAAACGGAAAACATGTTTATGTGAATATTTTTCAAAGTAAGTGGTGTTTTATTTTGTCCACATATTAATTGTAAAGGTCGAGAATTATACACGTAACTTTTGTAAGTTATCCTTGATTCGCACTGAATTACATTTAGGGTGAATTCACCATGCATCGGACATCCTTGTACTTCAACAAGTTATTGGGAAAATATAATGAAAAATCGAGTTTTTAAACATCACTCAGAATTCACCATGGATCGGAAATTATTTACCATGCATCGGACAAACTCGACGGCATTTGGACTGGAGAAATATCATACCTTTATTACAGCGCTTTAAAATCTTTGATATGGATATACTTTTATCTTTTATCTAGAATAACAACTCTCAACTTAAGTTTGATTGACGATATCCTTGCGTAAATGTAGATCGATTCAAGATGGATCACTTTGCCTTAGAATGGCTTTAAAATGCTTGGAATGCGGTAATTCGCGCCTTTTTCTCCTGAGTTATCATACTCTGCTTTGTAGAAATAAATTGAGTCAGATTCTAGACGTTGTATATCGATAACTTGTGTTTTGACTGAAAATTAAGAGTTTTTATTTTATATTTCTGCAAAAAACAGCTGTCGGTTGGGTTCTGTATGAAAATGGTAGTGCTTACCTTTGCATCGGAAAGTGTCCGATGCATGGTTACTTTGTGTCCTATGTACGGAGAAATGAACATACTTGTAAAATCCAGCTCTAAAATGAATTATACAAGCATTGAAGTGAAATTTATGTAAAATTACCAATCTTTGATAGAATTCACCAAAGTCTGACTCGTTCCGTTGAAGTCGATTTTAAAGAACGATAACTCTAAAAATTGCAAAATCATAAATTTCTGGTTATTCCCCTTTGCAATTGGTGATGTAAAATATGACCTAACTTCAAGGCCATTCTCGGGGTATTTTTATCACAACATGATTAATAACAATCGGTTTCATTATACCCCCCGCTTGAAAAGCGGGAGGGTATATAGTAATCGTTAAGTCCGTCCGTCTGTACGTCTGTAACATCTCTTATCCGCAACTCCTCTCATACCACTGAAGGAAATTTGATGAAACTTTCACAGAATCTTTATTACATATTGCCATTGTGCACCTCCTATTTTACGTTTTGATCCGACACATATTTTGGGTTTCACGGCCACAGCAAAACATTTGCCATTATAACTATATGGAGGCGGGGGTATCATTTAGTGAGCTCATCGCTCACAGTACCTCTAGTTAAAAAGTTCAAATCTTCAGCTTCAAGACAGAATCAAATAAATACACGGAACTCTTAAGGTGAAAGAGAGTTTATTGTCTAAAGTTGTCCGAAGCAAGGTATGTGTCCGATGCTTGGTGACCCTACCCTCTTTATGCACAAGCATACTAATCAATAACAAACCAATATTTTTTCTTATATAAAGATTCCGTTTCATTTTTCAGTTGTATGACATGATAAATTCAGATCATTCTTATAGTGGAATTATTTGCTCGGATTAATTAATTGAAAAGTTGAATGGTAATATTATACGTAAGACTTGAGATATAATATACAGTGGAGGACAAAACAGCTGTATACCATAGGTTTTCTCTCAGGCTAGAAACTTCATCTGAAAGAAGTACTATTTCCTTCTGAGTTCGACTGGTTTGTTGAATTCAGATCAGTTTTATTCTGTGCTTTGATAGTTCGATATTTAACCTTTTGTTGATTATCTTCACTTTATTACTGACAGAACTTCTCTGTAAATTAAGAACACTCTGTAGATAAGATCAAGAAGTCAACAATTTAAGCTCGAGACTTTATAGGGAAACAGTTAGAAATGTAGTTATGAAGGATTATTATCTTTCGTGAGGGACACTGCTTGCAAACTTCGTTGGTCACTGTTACCAACTATTTTACATTCCCATCAACGAAAAATATAATGATGTGTTGGTTATTTTAACTTAGATGACCTCTTTAAGTACGGTATATCCATAAATAACATTCAATAAATAATTACCATGAAATCCAGTGAAAAAGTTAATGTTTTGGTTGTCTAAGAAAATCAACCCCTGTGTGTTTAACAGATATTTAACAGATGTGTGTAAACCTGCACGCGATGCTCATTCCTCAATGGCACCTAATCCCATCTCTGAAGTTTGGAGGTCCGTGTTGCAGTTTTGTATTGTTTAATGGACCTTTGAGTTTGAATAATGTTCGTTATATATTATCTACACAAGAGCACTCATCATTCTAGACAGGCTATTCACAAACAACTTGATGGTCCAAGGGTGTCAACAATCTTCTAAGTATGTATTTCTTAAATTCTAGAGTTATAATGACCTATTCAGCATGTTTATATCAAATAATAAGTTTATTTTGCTGATACGGAATGTTTCGTTGTCGTAATCAATTTATTTGGGTCATGGTAGGTGTTACCTGTCATCAGGAAATGCCTACCACTCGTAGGCACCTAATACCACCATTAGAATTCCCAGTGACTGTGTATTGGGCTCTTTTTACAGATTAGTATTGTGAATGGATTCTCTGATCACTGTTTTTTTTTATTTTCAACTTTTTATGCAGATAAATATAATTTAATTCTTCTGCATATGTACTAAAAAAGGATGACTGATAAAGGAGGACACTTAAAAAAATTTAGTATCCGAAAACGAGATTGTCTATATCAGAGTACCTATGTATAGTTTAAGAGTGAAATTTAAAAAAATTAATTTTCTAATAATCTGTCACATCCCCGAGTTCCGTTTCTATTTAATAAGCAGTTTTGTATGATTTCAAGCTAATAAAGGAGCCAAGTTTTTAATTTATTGTGAGTAATATGTCTTATTAAGTGAAGAAAAATCGTAGGATATAACAGTACACTCCTCTGCAAAATCGGTGGTTTTAAATTTTCCACATTTGATTTATACTATTATTACTTCTAGAATATGCTGAAGAACATTATACGTCCAGAGGTCCTCTATGATAACAGTTAATATTCTTTATCTGTAAGGAGGAAAAAGGGAGAGAGACTAAATAGAGCATTTTCTGATAAAAATTATTCGAATACTCCTTGTTCTCCACCAACTGAAAAAAATGAAGTAACTTTGCAGAGAAACATAGAAAAATATCTCTGCCCATAAATTATGCTGGCTTGCATTTTAAATTGACAGAAAGACCGTCTTTTTTGGATGAAATCGGTTTTTGCAATGTTTTGTTCATGTCTTCTTCGGTCCAACGCGATAAATCTTTTGATCTTTTATTACAATGAAAAGGGGGTAGATGGCGAACAGTGAAATATATTTGAAATATTATTTATATAATTTATATATCTTGTTCTTGTTGTTAATATAAGACCAGATAATTTTAATTAAGATTGCGTTTAGCTCAGTTTATGACCTGTGCTCTTCAAAAAAAAAATGCATTTATACATGTATAACCATTGCTTTTCACAAAATCTTAGTTACATTTTCGTTAACAGTGTCATAAAACACATTCTGTCGAAGTTCTTTTCGCTTGCAAGAGTTAATCAATGGTATTAACGATTTTCTCATCTGTAATAATTATTCAACGTTTGTAATACACTCCGGGTTTTCAATAACACCACGATAAATCTTATGTAATATTTATGTTTTTTCAATTCTGATTCTATTTTCAGACTTTTTGATTTATCGGAAGTAATGACTGATTTTTTCCTGGCAATTTCTCGTATCATTTAATCAATACGTATCGATGGAGGATTGTTCGATTTCTTATTAAAATTTTAGCAAGGGCAACATCATTTGGGTTAATTATGAAACAAAATATTACACATTTGCTCATACCTATAAGATTGGTTAAGAAATTAATCTAAAGAAAAGGGTTACATTACTGGCCTCACATTTTAATTTCTCAATAATTTATTGCATTCATAGCTTGATATCAATAAAAGGGAATGTTTCATTCATTTCCTTGCGTATAATGTCGTTAAATAAATTATTTAAGTCTATTAAAGGCTATATTTTGATTTTAAAAAAGAGAGATAATATTGATAAAATTTATTCTCGTTCAAAATTGCTTGAAGAGTTCATTTAATCGTAAGTCATAACAATGACCCCATGCTGATTTTAATTAAGTTTCTTTTAATTCCGATTTTATTTTCGGACTATTTCATTTATTGGATGCAATGAGTTTGATTGTTTCCCTGCAATTTTTCGTATCATTTATCCACACGTATGAATATATTCGAATTTATGACTACCACGAAATGTAAAATTTCATACGCATAACTACTCAACACTTCTCCAAAAATGAAGCCGAATCGCCACACGTATTAATAAAGGTTGCTCGATTTCGAATTGAAATTTAAGTAAGGCTAATATCAAATTGGTTTATTGTAAAACAAAATATCATACATTTGCTGATACTTGAAGGATTGGATATATTGATTTAAAGAAAGGGATTACAATATTGACCTCACATTTTCAGGTATTTTTAATTTCTTAATTATTTATTGACACTAAGGTATTGGAACTCTGTAGTAAATAGATATATACTATCCATAGATAAATTACTAAATATCTCTTTGTAGTAAATAGATATAAACTGTTAAATCGCACATTTTCGTGGGGTCATAATTTTTAGGATTGAGAAAAAATATTGGTTTGTGGCGATTTGACTTCATTGTTGGGGAAATGTTGAGTAGTAATGCGTATGAAATTTTACATTTCGTGGTGGTCATGAATTTGAGGGGCTCTCCATACCGCGAAAATAAAGAAAATTAACCCCCCTCCCAAAATTACTGATTCCACAGTATTACATCATGTAATTGTTATTCAATTTATCTATCTATTCATTTTCCTATTTTAATTTATGAGACCACAACTATCTACAAATGTAAAAGTTATGCATAGGTAATGAACCCATTTAAACAGTTCATCACATGATCAATAAAGTGAATATTAGGCAGTTTTTTAATGCAATTACATTCAGTTTATTGATAATCTTTTTTTCTTTCAGATACCCCAAATTAGTTATGCCTCTACAAGTATTGATCTTAGCGACAAATCCAGATTTGAGTATTTTTCACGAGTTGTGCCCCCTGATACTTTTCAAGCCCAAGCAATGGTGGATATAGCAAAGGCTTTCGGCTGGAATTACGTCAGTACACTTGCTGATGAGGGAGACTATGGTGTGAAGGGAATAGGGGCCTTTAAAGAAAGATCGACAGAAGCCGGTATTAGTCATTACTCACTATCTAATCATTACAATATTTACAAAAATAATCATACATATCGCTAATTAATGTGTTAAGTTATTACTTCGCGTAACGATTTAATTATTACAGGGTATCCTCGTCAATAGAGAATTCGTGTAGAAAAATAACGTCTATTTTATTATTTGATAATCTCTTTCTTCTTTAAATCCAAAAGCTTTTCTAGCTTTTGCATATGGACAGAAATATGCATAGATTGTAACCATATTTTGAGGCTAAATTTTGATCCATTACTAACCAATGCTTCGGAGAAAAATGCTTTTAAAACATGTAATGACAGCTCAAGGAGAGATAAAGTAGACTCTTTTACAGAACTTGGGTTTAACATGGTTTCTCATTCAATAACGAAAGTGGAAAACTGCTCGATCGTGTTTTTGACATGTGTGGTTTTTCCAGGTATTGTTTTGGTGATGATTATACCTGTTATATGGGATTAAAAGTGTCCTAAGGCCTAAAAAATGTCAGTTTCATTTGTATTGGGAAACATCTAAAGTGCTCAATGAAATTTTAAGCAAAGGAAAACTATGATCATAAAAACCAAGAAATGTCAATGAACTTTCATATTCTTGAGGTATCGGTGAAAAGAATCTTGTTTCTTTAAGTTCGTGAGTTACATGCAGGAACTTTCAAATTCACCTATCTTTTTAAATTTAATTTCCATGTTCGATCATGATAGGAAATTCATCATATGATTAAACATTATTTTCAAAGAATACTTTAAAGGTGCATGGACACAGATTTGAAGTTAATATTTTCTGTATAATATTACGACTTATATATTTTAATAGCATTTCACACAAAAATATATTAAAAATGTTATTTCATCTTAAAGTTATTGAAACTAAATTTTTGGATGGGTTTGATTGACATATCCTTGCACTTTCACAAATTTTACGTTTATTTTTAATACTTAGGAAAAGTGGCAATCTTGTTGTGTATTAATCAAAAATATAAAAGCTTTAATCCAGAAAAAATAATTATAATCAGAGTAGAAATGTTAGAAAGCAAAACTCCTTCACAAATATCGTCATTCCGCACTAAGTGTTGTGTACAGAATTTAGCAAATTGATCACACCCATGAAACGGACACAGTTTTCGTAAACAGGCCACGAGCTCTGTTATGGTTGATGTTTACGATTCACCGGGAGCGTTCAATTGTTAACGTCTGCTCATTACAACTGCATGCATACGGACTGACAATATACTGTGTGAATGTTTTGCTTTCGAACATTTCTACTCTGAATTTTCTGGATTATAGTTTTAATATTTTTCATTTATTCACAACAAGATTGCCACTTTTACTAAGAATTAAGGATAGAATTAATATTTGTGAAAGTGCAAGGATATGTCGATCAAACCTGTCTAAAAATTTGAAGTTTTAATAATTTTTACATGAAATAAGATTTTTAATATATTTGTGTGTGAGATGCTATTAAAATATATAAGTCGTAATATTATACAGAAAATATTAACTTCAAATCTGTATTCATGCACATTTAAGAGAAGTAATGTATTATAATTATTCAATGTCTATTTTTTATTCTCTTGCATAATAAAACTCAGAAAAAGGTATCAATAAAACAATAAAGTTTAACTAACATTAATTTATATATTTCAATATTAGAGAGAAGGGGAGAGATATAGAGCCAGAATGGTTTTAATAAAAAAAAAATTCCATAACATTACATCTATTATTGTTGCTTTTTGTTTATCTTTTTTTTCTTTGATCTTACATTTCCTCTTTTGACATTGTTTCAAAATAAAATTCTGATCCATAAAACAAGTATGAAGTTCTTCAGTACTCTAAAAAACCTTACATCACAAGTTGCAAAATGGATGATAAAAACAACGCATTTTGTGTCGGTAAAAAACGTTACGACGCTGTTAACTTCGGTAAATTGTACGTTTGAATTCTATTAACAATCTTCTTACGAGTCTCCCAGATTCCAGCAAATCTTATTTATTATTCATTAGCCGATGTAATTCGCTGTGCTGTAAATGTCACATCTTTCTGGATGAATCTTTCTCTTTTCTGATTCGATTACTGGTGTATTAGCGCCAGAGAAAAATGTATGGTTAAGAATTCAGGGATTTTGATATAAGTTCACTTCGTGAGAATACATAAAAAGTTTAACCTTGAATTCTCGGGGAGAAGAGATGCTGCATTCAGAGATAAATTCTATTGTAGTATTAAATTGATCAAAAAATAATGAAAAAAAAGCTTCATTCTTTCCCATACCTTAAGTGTCTATGATAAATGAAATTAAAGATGTGCGTAAACGTGGAATCAATTCAAAGATCCTTAAAATGATAAGGTGAAGTTAGCGAACAATGATGGATCTAAAAATCCTCTAGAAGCAGTATAAATATATGAAGAATGTTTGCAACACTGTCCCCTGAGTGAACATCCCATGTGATCATTTAAGCCCATCTTTAACTTTTTGTTTCGGTAACAATTTGTATCTTTTTATGCCTACTTTTACCTGTGTGAAAAAAAAATCAAAACATAACAAAATAATTAATAAATCCTAAAAAAATTGAGTAAAATACAGGAAATTCGGATTATCTTAATTATTTATTTCAGTTAACTGGTATCGTCTTATAGACCCTTCTATAGTAATATTTTTAGAAATAGAAATAGAAATCATATGATTAGCAACAGTATTTTTTTAATGCCAACGAAAAGGATAATGCCTTGACCCTGCATCTGATAATGCCTTGACCCTGTATCTGAAATAAAACCGTCAATTTGAATCTCTCATAAATTGTAGATTGAAGAAAAAAAAAGAATCCATCCTATGTTATTTAAGGAATCAAGACCGCGTTTTTGTGAAGGGTATCCTTTGGGGTCAATAAATTGTATTTAAAAAATAAAATTCAAGACGCTAGTCGAAGCTTTCATAAGAAATATATGGAGATAACGAACCGTATTCAAGCTCAAAAGTCCATTTAATCATACAAAATAGGAGGTAATGGGGACTTTCAAAACACTTGAAGTGGGATCAGGTGTTATTGAGCAGAAAAAACCCCCTGCTACGATTAGGTCAATGTTTTCATCATCAATATTCTGTCTATTTGAACAATACATATGGTTCTTGGCGGGTATGTGTAGACGAGTGAGGAAGTTTATTCCTCCTTTGGACCTGATTCCACCTGTAAAATGTTAGGCTAAGGGGTTTCTACCCTGCTTATAATTGCTTATTTGTATAGCTTAATGGTATTTTTTTAATTGGCCACTTTTCGTCAAATTCATCGTTTAAGGAATTCCTTTAACTATACGAGGGGTGATCAAAAAGTTCGCAAACTATCTCTATATCTACAAAACCACAATTCAGATTAGAATGAAATTCGGTACACACATGGCCATACACAAAGTCTATAAATAGCATATGCTGAATAAAGTTTCTCTCCTTGTTTGTGACGTCACAATGTGAAAATGACGTCACTATTTAGGTCACTTGTGACGAAAAATGGTTGTCTCAGTTGAACTCGTTCAACAAACGACTGTACAATTTATTGTAATATCTTAGAAATCCCTCTACAGTATCATATAATAATTTGTACACAGTTTATTGAGATAAATGAGTTCCTATAAATTCAATTAATGATTGGATTAATCGTTTTAGTGAAGGAAGGCTGATGGTTAAAAATGATACTTGTTATCTTGCCCAGTGAAAGCAAGTTTGAAAAGATATGTATTTTTGATTAAGCAATTTGATATCAAAGACCTCCAATTAGCACGTTGAAAAATAGTTGAATATTTGAACAATGATATAAGTATTAAATACCTATGATATCGTTTACTTTAGATTTTAAACATATTAGATATGATGAAAAGGATGCACCCATTCTCTATCCACCTTGAATAAAGGTCTCTCCTGAGACAGAAGATTTGTGTTTTAATGGTCGCCATGCTTATTTTTGGAAAGGATGTTATTATACACCCATTCTGTTGCCGAGATATGACCATTTCTGACAAATTAACTGTTCTTGTCATAAAAATTAACTCACATGGAAAGAAATATAAAACTCGGAAAAATATTTTAACTTTTGTGACAGAACGCTACGGAGGGGGTCGCGTGACCGCCAATATCACGTGATTCGCGCATGAGTAGAACGGTGGTTGATGTGCATTAAAATCGGGGAGGATTAATTTAAAATATAATCAACATTAAAACCAAATATTGTTTCTTGTATGGAAGTTATTCAATTAGTTTGCGAACTTTTTGATCACCCCTCGTACATATAGTCGTAACAATGGGTTGGTAAGAACCTAATGTCTTGCTTACGAATATGCATTTCTTGTCATTTTTAATTTTTCTTTTAAATTTACTGGAAAAATCAATTGAGTTTTCTGATCACTCGTTGTGTGTCGTCCGTCCGTTCGTGCGTATTTTCACATTTTCAACTTTTCTCAGGAAACACGGCCTATTCTACAAGCTTGTATTGATGAAAAGTCAAACCTGCTACCAAGGGGACATAACCAAGTAAAGACGAAAAGCAGGTTGGGTCATTTTAAAATCCTCTTCATTCGAACCACTGGGTCTGTAAAGCTGAAAGTAATATGGAAGCAGTCTGATCGATGTAGTTTTTATTCTATCTTTCTCAAATAATGACCTTAGGGGAATGGGGTGCGGCCAAAAAAATATAACAAAAGGGAGCATCTGATAAATAAAAGCAGAGACAAAGTTACTCAGTTGAACGTTGTGGCCCATGGACCTCTTTTTTGACATTGCTCACTGTTCGCTACATTCATCATTTTATTAGTTCGTTAAACCTGATGGTTGTTACATGTATAATGACGTTTGCTTTGCTCCTATTTGGTATTGTTTTATGGATTTTGTTCTTAAATACTGTTCGTTATCTCTATATGTTTCAGTAAATACAAACTTTTGATGGGGTGTATGTCGACTGAATTTATCATATAAATGTATACATCTGTAAAGTAATTATTTACACACTGAATTATTGCCTTAGGACTTGTTTATGACAAGAATCGCTCAGTTGGCGTGACTGGTCAAAAGGTGATGCCTATTCCTTCGTAGCATTGCTCCAAATTTGTATTAATTCAATGGAATTGTGAACCTGATTACTGTACGTTACCTTAGAACATGTATATCGCTTACCCTACTTATGCTGTAAAATATCTTCATCAACTGCATAAGGAGAATTTATATCTCAGTTGATTCGATAAGCAAGAGCATGCTCCACGTACGAACAATTTCTAAAACGAGGTAAATCATTGACAAATAAGTTGATGAGACAAGAATATCAGCAGTCCCGTTTAAAGTCATCATTTCGTAAGTTCTATGCTGACTGACGTTTTTCATACTTATTGTTAGTCCATTGTTTATACGCTGAATTGACGACTGATTCCGTTGTTTGCCGATCATAACAAGGAGCACAAGGGGGTTGTGACCGGTCAGCAGGGGATGCTCACTCCTCCATGGCACCTGATCCCACCTCTGATGTTTCTTGGGTCCGTGTTTGCTTTGCTCCTATTTTGTATTGTTTTATGGACTTTATTGTTGAATACTGTTCGTTATCTCTATATCCTTCTTTTAAATGTTCATTTTCATACTTCTTCTGCACTTTAAATGTACTTTTTTGAGATTTGTTTTCATTGTTTTATTTCAAGTATCCACTTTAATCAGTAGTTGCTTTTTTTATTTGAAAATTGTTGAATGTTCTAGGTTGCTTTGACCATATGATTTTTTTTCTACATTATTTTTGATTATCCTTTAGTATATGTATGTGTATTGTCCGATTAAAATGCAATTGTTTGATATTAATATTTTTGGATTGTTTTCTTCAGGAATATGTGTTGCTCAGTCTCTAACAATTCTTCGAGATGATACAGACTCCAGAATTGAGCAGCTAGTACTAGATCTGTTAAAGAATGAGAGAGCTAAAGTTGTGGTCATGTTTGCCAACGAAGACAACGCCAGAAGAGTACTTAAAGCGCTAATGAAATTAAACAAAACGTCTGAATTAACATTTCTTGCCAGCGATAGTTGGGGAGCAAAAATCCACCCTGTCAAAGGTCACGAGCTGGCTGCAAACGGCGCCGTTACATTGCTTCCAAAAAGGCATGTGATCAAAGGTACGTACGTAACATGTAGCGGTTGGTTTCGAAGAAACCTAAATGAAGTATCAAACCAGTAATCAAAATATGTATATTACTCTGGGAACAAAAATATAGTTATATACTTACTTTTCGGGGCTTTTTTCTTTTCAAAATATGCATTTTATATAATTTATATTTGAAATGTGAAGTAAAATTTAACTGGAATATTCAAATAACAAACATAGTGTTATATTAAATAGCATATAATTTGGCCCTCGTGCTAAGATGACACAAGATATGTTTTTAGAATGTTATACGTGTATTTACGTCAGCGGTTCGAATTCCACTGTTGGACATGGAGACCGGTCCTTCGAATGAGACCGTATAAACCGAGGTCCCGTATCACAGTAGGTGTTGGCACGAAAAAGGTCACCCACTTCTCATTGGTCATAAGTGCAGAGTATAGAACAAAATTTACAGCTCTACATCGGAAAGTTGAGGCGTCTCCATATGACTGAAAAATTCTCGAGAGGGACGATAAAAAACATATAAACAAACGTATATTTTATCAATGTAAGATATAATTTACCATTGAGTAAAAAGTTACATTGACACTTTCCTTAATCGTCAAACTAATAATTCCTGGGAGTAAAAAAAATTCACATGTACCTGTTTATCAAAATATTGTTCTTTAGCTTTGCGGAAACCGTTGGCTTGGATACCTAATTTATAACGAAAGACCAAATATTCCTTGTTACTCAAACCAAAATCAGGGGTTAATAACAGTATCTTGTATTCTCATAATTATCATGGATTTGTCCGGTAAAAAATCAAAGTATTTTTAGTTATTTATGAGTGAAAACTTTAATAATAAATAGAAATATTTTGTTATAAAATCAATGCAACGAATTTTCATCTTTCTTTACACACAGAGCATGAAAGGAGAGCATTTAGAATAATATACTATCGTTTCAAGAAATACACTTCAGGGTATATAAATACACAGATCTTTGATTCAAAAGAATTAAACACAATCTAAAGGTTCAATAACAGTTATAATTGTCTTTGATAAGTAAAAAAAACAAAGTGACTCATGGATAAAGACGACATTTTCTCTATTTATAGCTGATAGGTAGTAATTGAATCTATGATGAAGTTCAATACTTCATTACTTGCCATCAGAGATTACGGTGAGTCACTGGCAATCTCCACCAGAAAGCGATACAAAGGAGGCTGTTTTTAATTCAACCTTGTAAATGAAAACCGATGAAAAGCCTTCAAAGAACGTCACAAAGGCAGGCTTCTGCTGATGATAAATTTCCTGTAATACAAAATGAATTACTGAAAAAGATCAACATTTTACCACATGATATTTTCGTGTATTTATGTAGCAAAATAACTTTGAATCATAAAACTTACCATAGAAAAGATTTTAACATTTTTTTTCAATAAATTATGTAAGAATAGAGGATCGAATTCAACAAATTCTATCATTGTGTAAAGAATCCTATGATGAATACTTTTTTGTTAATGGGTAATTTGTTTACAAATTACGGTATACTCAATTGTCAAAGTTTGTTTTCAGCTAATTTAAACCAGATACCCGAGGGAGTATTATTGATCAGAGGTATTCTTAAGTTTGCTGTTATCTACTGTTGACCTGTCTATTAAAGCTGAACACGACTCGTAAATAGGCATACGCCATTTTTGATATCATTATCTACGATACATCAACACTAGGCTAGGGTATACTCTTCAGATTCGTCACACCTGACTGCGTTATTGTCACGGGTATCGGCGTGGAATAGCGAACCGTGTTCGTGCTGGTTATCTTGCATTACCTTTGTTTACATTTTATTGCAGTTACGTGTATCTGTGTTTGTTTCTATACTGCACTGACCTGTACAGCGATAACTGTATGCTTCTTTGGTATCTTACTTTTCTGCATTAGACGAAGACGAAGTATTACGTTATTATTGTCGCTACCGAGTGCTGTATAGCATACGCCCGTCTACACCGGCGTCGACTGATTATACTGAACAGTGACAAAGTCCTGCCCTTTATATAGGGGTCTGCAGGTATAGCGATTCTCCGAACAAAAATGGCGGACACATTCCTTTTACGAATCGTGTTCAGCTTTAGCTATACTCACTTTCGAAATTTCAAAATGGGAAACACTGTGTTCAGTAAATTAATCTCTTTTTTAATATACTGATATATGGGATATATTTTACTTGGAATGATAATTAAAGCAATTATACCTGCATGTTAACCGACAACTGTGACGATTCGGCATGCAGTAAGGAAACGTATGCTTACTTAAGTAAAATCTCTATTGCTGCACGTGAATCATCTTTCTAAGAAAAAGCTGGCATTTGATTTCACAATAACTGTCAAACATACATCTTTTCGCAGTTTTTATCCATTTAATTCATTCTTGCTGTCGTCGGAATGACTTTCAAACTTGAGGGATTTTCCATGAACTATTTTGCAATGTCTTGTAGATTTGAAAGTCGTGATATCGTATTACATTTCATTAATTATGGCTGTTTTTAAATAATTAAAAATAAATTTCCAAGTGTGCTGGTTCTTGCATTTATTTCAAAGCATTGCCTGCGTGATATTATACAATGGTTAGAGCGTCTGCTCTAGAGTTTGTGGAATAAAAAACTGATGCATACACCTATGCGGAATGTAGAACCTGTTCCTTCGGATGAGACCGTATGTAAATAGAGGATCCGTGTCGCAGTAAGTGTTAGCATGATTGCCGAGTATAGATATAAATTTGCAACCCTTAACCGGCAATTACTGACGTTTTCATATGAGTGAAAAAAAAAAACTCAAGAGGGACATTAAACAAATACTAATCAAAACAACCTGGATATTGCATCGATGTCTCTGGTTTGCTTTGATTGCTTTTACTACTTCTCGACAAAGAATCAACGATTTGAGCAAAGTTACTTATATACCTTTATATAACTAATCAATTTCCTTCCTCATTTTTTTTTTTAGATTTTGATGAATACTTTATCAACCTTACAGTAAAGAACAACAAAAGAAATACTGTGGATTCTGGCAAAGTAAATTTACATAACTTTAACACCCGAATAAAACAATGTTCAGGTGAAAATCTTTGAAATGATCGTTACTTTTTTGATATTTTTTTTTTCAAATAATCGATTTATTGTTTTTCTTTATTGCACATATAAATAGAATTTCTTTTCATAGTTTTGTATAGAACACAATTTGTTCATTATTTAACATATTGGACAGAGCTCAAGGACGAGTAACCTCTGTCCAGTTAAATTTTTTTCCTCCAGTCTTTTACCTTATTTGTTTGATTCAAACTTAAGTGGCTCAAGTTCAATATAAGACGAAAATAGTTCCAATTTTTTTTTCTCGTAAGAATATTTTTTTTTGCATATTCATCAATATTCATAAATGTATAAAATAAAATAAATTACCATATTTTGCATATGAATCAAATTTGAATATTAATGAATATTTGGGGCCATTATTGGTAAATTAGTTATATAAACCAATTGCATTCTATATTGTCAACCAATTATTATATAAAATGGTTCATAAAGTACGAAACAAGATATGTATCTTACATATGATTTTATTTAAGTATCAATAAATTTTAATGTGCGCTTAGTAGTCATAAATGAACATTTGTTCATAAGCATGAGTGAAAAAAATTATCATAAATGCTACTAAGGTTGACATTAGTGTAAAGATATATTTCAAAGTCATAAAATATCATTTGTTCAAAAAAAATCCTTTTATGTCTGTTTAACATGTTTCAGGTTTGCAGGTTGACAGGTTGCTTTTACTACTTCTAGTCGTAGAATCACTGATTCGAGCGAAGTTATTCCTAAATGTAATTTAAAGTGACAATTGTTCAATTTTCTTCATTTTTTTCAATGTATTTTTAATTGACATACTTTACAATTTATATATTACAATTTATACAAAATGAAGAAATACACATTGTTAAGGTTTTGGTTTCTGTGTCAAATGGAGAATGATGTATATATATCAACTGTTATCAGACATTGCGCATATATAATGAGAATAAAATTTAATTTCAGGCATTCAATATAAATCTTATGATATAACCTGTCTACCTGTTTATTTTTAAATATTGCTGTCAAAATCTATTTAAACTGTTGACCTGTCGATTTTTTTTGTTCATATATAACCTAGAATTCGTTTTCCTTTCAAATTATTGTATAAAACAATTTCATTTGTTTAATATTCATTAAAAAGTAATTTGCATTTTATGTTTTGTTCATATATTTATATTAGAATATAATTGATATAATTATACATGAATATTTATGATCTTACAAAAATATTATAATAACAAAACCGACTTACTGCAGAGTATGTGGATGGGACTATTTTCGTCTTATTTTGTACTTGACCCAAACTTAATCACATGTTCAGGTTAATGAAAAATGAATTTATTTTCTCCTTCGAGATCAACTTTTTTCCCTTGGATTTTTAAGTCTAGTAGTTGCTTACACAATGGAAATTGAATTGTTTTAGTATATGAGGCGATAAATAGCTGTACAAAAATCATGCAAATGATATCATTTCAGGAGAGGAATACATTGGAATGAAGGGGGCTCCATATAACCAAGAGGGCTTAGTCCAATTTGTTATTGATTCCGTTTATGCGTTAGCGCATGCGCTACACAATTTGTTATCAGATCAATGTAGTGTTCCATTTCAAAACTGCACAACAACTGCAGTTACATCTGGTGAAGAAGTCTTAAAGTACATTCGAAATGTTTCCTTCACAGGTATGGAATCCCATAAATGTAATGTAGAATATTCCATAATTCTATTAAATTTAGATGTGTGCACATTTGTGTCTATTATATAAACGTTTCAAAGGCATATGAATATTAACCATTATATTCTTTTTGCTTGTGATAAACAATGTAAAGAATAATGTACTTACATATGATTTTTCTATCATTGTAATTGCTGTATATATCCTTTTGACACTTCATTCTTTACAGGAGTAGGGGGAGATTGGGTAGAGTTTAATAAAGAAGGTGATGGACTTGGAAAATATGATATTTTTCAATATCAGCAAGCCTCCAAAGGTCTTTATAGCTATGTTCAAGTCGGAGATTGGATAGACAGGTTTGTATGAAATAATGCAGTAGTACACACGTTATTAAAAACATACAAAGTAAATGCCAATAGAATACCAGTATCATCCTATGTGCTTTATATGAGATTTGTTTTGTTTAAATGAAAGATGCACTCATATGTAAAATACTGACATATTACGACGAAAAGATGAGAAGATATCAAAGTGTATACGTACAGATCGATATCAATCTTATTAAAATTCAAACATTGCAAATGTTTGAACAATGTTGACACGGACACTGTACAAATCTGCGAGATGGAATAAGACAAATGCATAACATTTATAATATGAAACCAGTCAGCCAAAATAGATGAGTGGGTATTGAGCAAAACTATGCGAGAAAAATATATGGGGAGTGTAGTTTTAAGAAACTCTTAACGCTTTGCTTTTTAACCTTACAATGTTTAAAAGTGTACTCCGTTCCGGGAAAAGCGTTTGAAGTATCATGATTTTTATCAAATCACATAGAAAGAATTTCTTTTAATCAAATAACATTGAGGGAAAAATAAAATCTTTCTTATTCTTACATTTGATGATGTGTTTATTTTAAAATGTTTTGAAAAAAAAAGAAGATTCACATGATGGAAGACTCCTAAACAACCATCGTATAGCATACTCTGTAGAATAAAAAGGTCCTGGTCAAGAAAATGGTTAAATGATTGAAAAAGAAGCTCCAAAACGGCTTGATTCGGAGCAAAATTTTGTTCCGTACGCAATAAAATAGGTTAGAAAACGAACTACGATCAATATGCAAACAAACCCTTAACACAACACAAATCATTTCGGCAAATATCGCGAATTCTAATGAACACTAGAAATTCCAGAAGTGGATTAGGTGTCTAGGTAACGAACAGTATTCAAGCTCAAAAAGTCTTTCAAATAATACAAAAAAAGAAACATAGCAAACAAGCACTCATAAACATCAGAAGTGGGATCAGGTGCCATGGAGGAGTGAGCATCCTGGGTTACATCCGCCGCGTCAGTCAGCAATTGGTCTAATGATAGATTGTAAATGCTGACAAGTTCATTGTATCGAAAGGAATAAAAAAAGTTACAAGAACGTCACTAAGTGTGTCAACTTTCACATTTTCTATATTTTTGTCAATTCTGTATCATGCAATTTTAGGCATATTTCAATTCGTAGAAAATACAGAGCAAATGCATGGTTACAAGTATCTTTTGTTTTTATTTTTTACAAGCATTTGTACCTATTGAATCTTTCATTTTTTTTAATTGAAAAAAAGATAGGTTTATTCTCATTTTGCAATGAAGGAACAAATGCAGTTTGATTACATAATTTGTAACCGTAATTGTAATTGTTTTTGCATTGTAACTCTAAGGCCATTGTAATGACTCTGTCTACGGATTCTTCCGTTTTCGCCAATCATGACAAGTCACACACAGTGGATGTGACAGCTCGGCAGGGGATGCTCACTTCTCTATGGCACCTGATCCCAACAGTAATTAAGAGGTCCATACTTCATTAAGTATCTGCTGTCATCTGCTAGTAAATTCATATATTTTTAACATACATATGTGTATTAAATCATTTTATAATTTTTTATTATACAAAAGGTAGAAGGAAAATCACAAATTATTCTGTGTGATGTAGCTTCTATTAGCTATGGGGCTCAGAAAAACTATTTGTTATTTAGTATATTTACTTCAAATTCTAGTATTTCAATATTTCATAAACTCATTTATTCTGTATTTTAGCCTTCGTCTCAACGAATCAATGTTGAAATGGAAAAAGAAGAATGTTCCATATTCTGTATGCAGTGAACCATGTTCACCAGGGTTTGCGCGTCTTGAGAAAGGATTAAAGTGCTGCTGGGGTTGTTTTCAGTGTGCATTTAATCAGTATTTAGCGGACGAGTATACATGCAAAGACTGTCCAGAGGGATCAAAACCCTCCCAAAACCAATCAGCATGCACGCCACTTCCGGTCCTCTCGCTAGAATGGGGGACATTTTGGATGCTACTTCCTATAGCTTTCACGAGTATTGGCGCGGTATTGACAGTATTAGTGATTGCAGTGTTCATACGTTACAATGAGACTCCTATAATAATGGCATCTGGAAGAGAATTGTGTTACGTTCTTCTCGTTGGAATTCTTATGTCTTATGGAACATCTTTAATAATGTTAGTTCGACCGACATTTATTCTTTGTACGTTGAGAAGGTTAGGTCTAGGTGTGTCTCTGTGTTTGATATATGCTGCTATGTTGACGAAAACTAACCGAATCTACCGAATATTCAATAATGGTATCAAAGCCATGGTCAAACGTCCAAGTTACACGAGTCCAAGATCGCAGCTTGTGATCTGTTTCGGTATTGTTTCTGTACAAATAGTTGGAGGTATAACATGGTTAGGTTTTGAAAAACCAGACACGGTATTTGTTTTACAAGATCAGGATTATTTGGTGCTAAAATGTAAAGCTAGTAAAACTGCAATCATAGTTTCTTTGACTTACAATATAGTTTTGATTATAATATGTACTGTGTATGGTGTGAAAACCAGAAAGATACCCCAAAATTTTAACGAAGCGAAGTGCATAGCATTCACTATGTACAGTACATGCATTGTATGGCTAGCCTTTATTCCAATATACTTTACAGCAAGTGGTGGAGATTTTAAGGTAAGTTATTTTTCTTTAGTATTCTTTTATATATGTTGCAGTAAAATTGATAAGCAGTTGTTCTTTAGGAAAATTTGAGAAAAAATAATTTGAATAAATCACGAGATACTTAAGACTGAAACACAGGATGAATCCCTACCATTCACTTAATAGGATGATCGACAAACGGTCTAGAAATTTTACTGAATTACAGATTTCTGCGATCACTCTTCAGTGAACTTTCAGTTGTCTGATTGGCAGAGATAACTCATGGGGAATATTAGAACGTTGAAACATAACTCATGGGTTAATTTAATGCCAAATCAATTGGTATACCATTATAGAATACACTGAATTGTCGACGAGTTTTCCGTTATTTGCCACTTATGACGCACGGCGGCGAGTGTGACTGCTCGGCAGGAGATGTTCACTTCCCAATGGCACCAAGTCCTTCCTCTAATATTTTAAGGTTTTAGATGTCCTTGCTTGCTCTGCTCCTGATATGTATTTTTAGATAGACTTTTGAGCTTAAATACTGGTCGTTATTATACTCCATATATTTAATCATTAAACTATAACTGTTTTGTTATACCCTTCACTGCTCACTTAAGATTGATCAATTTTATCAATACACGCTTTACTATCAATTATTTTATATGGAAAATTATGGCTTCTTCAGTAAATATAAAACATCAAGCTGAGAAAGAACAAAATCAATTATAAACCTATTATATCACAAAAATTATATATCACAAAACATACTCTTCCCTTCTACCTTACCTTGCTGTTAAACAACTCTTTTAAAATAACTTCGTGCTGTAATATTCATGATTATTAATTGTGATTAACAGACAAGTGACGTTGCGGTCTAACAATTCTTATGTAAGACCGGTCAATAGTGAAATTGTTAGACCGACGTAATAAACATTTCTTTTGTTGGACTTTTTATTAGTAATAAATATATAGAAGGATATTTATAAGGGTATAACAACTCCATATATTTAATCATTAAACGGATAAGCTTTTTTATATTTCGTATATATCAAAACATGATCAATGTCCAAATAGCCAGTCCCCAGCGAAATGATAGTGCTGTAAGTTCATGATTGATTCTGAGTAACAGAAGTAATAAAAATGGATCAAGTTTAAATAATTATTCCTTAATTGCGAAATGCGAGGAAGCCTGGCCATAAAGTAAGATGCATTTCGGTCATTCTTTATTTACCCGAAAATAGAAAGACTGATTACTAACGAATTAATGATTGTTAAAACACTCAAGAGCACGTTTTTGCACAATATATCTACTTACAAAATAAAATTAGTACCAGTGTGAATTTAGAGGAAGCACAGTAAGTAATCTTTCATTTGAAGGCACCACTAGAAAGCCAAGCAAAGAAACTCAGCTTCTATAGCACTCTACACAAAAAGTGCCTTGTTAACCCATCTAAAATGCTTGGTGCGTTATATGGTCGCAGCTTAATACTCTTATCTGGATGCTTGGTGCACAATTTATTGTCATGGATCACAGTTGATTACAGCACTACACAAGCGATACACATATGATTATTTTTCCCTCTCTAACCATCCTTGATTTAAAAAGATTAAATGGTTCTTGTTTTCTAAATAGCGTTTCACTGCATATTATACCGAATCAAAGGATTTGAAAAATTTGTACATTCTCTAATGGAAACGAATAAGTGTTAAAATGTGAATACGTAAGCTGTTAACTTTAGAACCAGAGAGACCCCTAAATAACACTTTTAGGGAAAATGTGTTTTGTAAAAGATGAAACTTTCGTTTTGCTTTGTAATAAATATATAAAATGGGATTGGAATAATTTTCCTTAAACTTAAGTGGATAATTCAGAACAGGAATAATTGTAGGAAAAAGAGGTCTACTAAAGGTTTTTTGCGTAAATTATAAATGTTGGTACATGTATACTTAAAAACATGTTTTATTTTCAGATTGAAGTAACATCTCTCTGTATGTGTGTAAGCATCAGTGCAACAGTTGCACTAGTGTGTATATTTGCTCCGAAGATATACATAGTTTTATTGCAGCCACATAAGAACGTTAGGCAAGGAGCGACAACTTCTTTGAAAAGCAATCATCCGACATTAGCACGCATCATCTCCGAGCGAACGGACTCTCTCGGACCCTTTCCATTCCAAAATGGCGGAGTTTATACTCATCCTAATCAGACTACGCAAACAACGCACACGACAATCAATGACGTATTCAGCGAGGACCTCGATGACTTCTCCTGTGATGATGCAACAGGTGACGATGAATCGAACGGACAATTAAATCCTCCCATGGAAGTAGATATTTGAGGATTGAATATTTAGGCTTCAATTTACTTTTTAATATCATTATTACATAGCTCATCATATTTTCTTGATAATTTTATTAATTATCTTTAATTTATGCATAACTTGAAGATGACCTTGTCAAAAAACTCAAGTGTGTTTTCCTAAGCAATGAGTGTTCGTCGGCCATTGGTCTGTCTGTCTTTGTGTTGATTGTTCCTTGAACTTTTGCCAAAACAACTGGGTAAATTGAATCAAACTTGCAATTACTTGCACTATTGATAAAGGAAATGCATTGTTTTCTTTTAAGGACTATTGTCTTTTTTAAGGGTAGACAATTTTCAAAAAGCACACGTTTGCTGTGCTTCTTAAAAAATTCGACAGAAGGAAAAATTGAAGAAAAACAAAAATTATATGCACACATTTTTACAAGTGAAAGAACTAGAAAAAAAACCTTAAAGGTTTCTTTCGGAGAAGAAAAGGCGTGATTTGCCCTACACTCATTAATTTAAAGCATTAGTTTATTGATCATATTTAAATTGGAAAATGCATAGTAGGCTTTTTTGTTCGCATTTCCTAAAAATTTATTTGAGATTTACTAATTTTCTCTATATAATATAATTAACTTTCAAAACGAAGTCTGAAGTATTCTCGTGGGTAAAAACACGTTACTTAGAGAATTCAGAGACAATTTTTGTGAACACTTTCCATTAGTCAATGTCCAATTTTCAGAACATTAGGATCGGAGAACCTTAATGTCGATTTCTCATTTGACCTTAAATTGCAACATAATAGGATTTCATTATCTGTGAATGCATCGTTTATTGAATTTTAAAACTATTAAGCGCAGCATCTTTGAAAAATCGTGAATGAGCAACGTCGATCCCGATTAAAAGTATCATATGCATATCTTCTTCTTTTTTTTTTACACTCACTCAATAATACCTCTTCACTTTCGCATTCAAGATCATGCACTAAGATATTCATACACACAAGCGCATTTCTAACTCCCGCCAATTCCTTTGCTGGGGATTAAAAAATCTAAGAGTTCTCCAGAAACCCAAAACTTTATTTATAAAAGGGGTCCGGCTACAGACAGATGTTTCTTATGAAGGGCGCCCATTTTTTTTTCGTTACAAGGTACATGTATCTAACTCAATTTCAGCTACACTTACCTTAAACTCGTATTTTATTAATATATCAATCATAATCCCACTTTGAAAAGACAAATATCACTTTGAGATATTTAATTTTTTCCCCATAAATCGTTGCAGACTTCCTTGGTCACGCTTCATCATTGTAAACCACTTAATTTAATTCCTCGAACGTTGTCTTGACATATTTTAAGACTCTACACGGGATACAGAAACTTACGGTTAGGGTTACGATATTAGATAAAATTAGAGACTTTCGTGTTCTTCATTCTGAAGTGTGGCTGACTCAAACTGGAAGTTGGTCCTGTCTAAAGTTTTAAAATGCCGTAGGGTTATTTTAGAGGAATAAATGGTACCTTGTGGTTAATTTAAGTAGTGGGTGCCCTTTTCTTCAAATAAAGTGCCAGTGTTCCAGGCACGTATTAAAATGAAAAAAACAATAACCCAAGCATTTTCATTCGAATATGTATCCGATTGTACTGGTGCTGCTATTCTTGCCAAAGTTCACTCATTCTTCATCAGTCATGCATACCTAGCAAAATTATGTAAATATACGTTACATTCCCCGAACTGTCTTGTCCTTATACAACTTTTATGCTATAAAATCAATGTTTGTTTTTTGTTGTCGGTGAATATGACTATTATTTGTTAAAATTAAAGATGTACATGTATGGAAGCTCAGGATGTGTTTGTTATAAACTTATGTTACTTTTACTTTTGAAAAGAATATCGAATTCAAATAAATTTATATTTGATTATTGGAAATATAATGATATATACCATGCATGGTTGCCCATAAAGTTTGTAGACAAATGCTTTATGTTTCTTAACAATGACCTTACTGCTATACGTGTAGAATAATAATTAAGCAATGAATTATTATTTTTTTAAGACGTAGTCTTATAACTGCAACGGTGTGTGAAAACAAATTAAATAACGCGCGTTATGAAAATTTATTTGCATACACCTTTGCAATAATGAGACTATATCTTTCCAAAATAATGATTCATTGCTTATATTCACATTAATAACGCACGTAATTTTTTAACTTCGTCTTGATTATTTTAATTCATACCACTTTATCTAAAAGTTTATATCATTTTAACCCTAGACTTTGAACACCATCTTTGCAATTTAAAATCGCAATTTGAACCAAACTATGGAAGTTTGAAAAAAAAATCAAAATTAAACTTTTCTGTTTAGCTATAGAATGTTTTTGGTAATACAATAAACATGATAAATTTATCTATAGCCATTCGTTTTGAGGGAAAAAGTCATAGTCCGAAAACTCAGTGGACAATTCTCGTTTAAATGCATATATAAGAAATGTTCCTAAGTATTATTTATGTAAATACTTATTAAATATATTTGTCTGTCTCAGTTTTTTTTTCTGTAACTTTGTTTTCGGGAATGAGACATTAACTTAATGATGCTCTTAGCACTGGATTTTATTTTGGGGCTCTGGAATTTGTTTTTGAATAAAAGTGTGCATATTATTGTCCATATGTATCTTATTCAGAAAAAAAGTTTTAAAAGTTGATCATGAATTACTTACATCGAAAATACATATAAATAATGAAATTGCATATTTATCGTAGTCTAATAAATTGCCAGGAATAAACTTCAATATTTTTTTTTTTTTTACAATTGATTTCTATGGAAACCCATGCAGGACCTGTCAAAAAATATTTTTGAATTTGATAAAACGAATTATCAAATTTGTTAATATGACAAATTTAATTAGTTATTATAACAGTTTCTTTGAATTCGTTAAAATGAATTAAATTGGTTATTACAAAATCATTAAATTCGTTCAAGCGAATTCAAAAATGTGTTAAACCTAATTTAATTCATTATATCGAGTTCTAAAATTGTTATAATGAATTAAATTCGTTATAACGAATTCAAAAATTTGTTACAACAAATAGAATTAGTTGAAACGAATCCGACAAAGATATGATTACAATACTTTACCGATATAATATGTTTTCAGAAACGAAAAATCCCAGAAAAACACATAAACAAATAATATAATTATAAATAATTATTATAAACGGTGTAAAAGGTTGCATAAATATAAAATGAAATTGATGAAAATTATAAATTGATTAAAACAAATTAATTAAATCAAACATCTATTAATGTACATTTCTCATTCACAGGTCTCAATTTCTTCTTAGTTGATACATCTAGAAAAAAAAGAAAGATTTTAATGAGAAACTTAATGAATATACAATTAAATATGATTGTCCACTGAATTTTTGTTAAACAAGAGTCTAAAATTTTATACATGTATTTTGAAACCGAAGTCAAGTGAAATCAAATACGCCAATATAAAAAAAAAATTATTCGCAGAGTCAGACGTCATTAAATTTACTGCCTTTCATACTCGACAGGATACGAAGAGATATTGCATTTTTTAAATGCCACGTATATACGTTCAAACTTTTAATAATTTTAAATGAGATTTTAAAAAAATAATTATTATTATTGAAAATAGCACAACTGCTTTTTAACCAATACAACAATTTAATTGTTAAAAACAATTTCAAAGTGACTGTGTAATAATCGTCAAATCATAAATATCTATCTATTCAAATGATTTACTTATATGTACTTTACTATGTAAATTTGTAATAACCAAATTCTATTCTACTGTTCTAGATTTCTTTCTGGTTTTTGTTTGTCTGATATTCATATAATAGGTAAACCAATAGGCATATTCGTATGTACACGTTTTTATTTATTCAATTATTCATAATTTAAAATATGAATTATATCTTACCTTTTAAATTGCAATATCCGCCTTCCATATATTCTAGGTCACTAAGCTTTTTATAAGGATTTGTAGATCTTAACTTCCGGTTCCTTCTTGACGTATAACAACGAGAAAGAACGAGACAAAGTAAACAACAAGTCCCCATTAAGAAAACAAGTAGCCCTATAAGTGCGATAAATTCCATGGACCACTCATCACTAATATCATTGGAAGAAGTAATGGTTGTTCCCTGTTTGATGTAATGTGTACATGAAGTTAGCTCCATCACAAATAAAGTGGTTGTGCAAAAAAAAAATTATTCTGTTGTGCTTTTATGTTGGATTTTTTTCCTTTCTCCGTTAAAACTTTATTCAACTTTTAATTCAGTCCTCATCTCTTTTGGAATGGATTTCCATGCATTCGGAATTAAAGAAAGATCATAATGTTAGCGAATTTATTACTAGTATTTCCCACCTGTCGAATTTGTTGATCTCTCCCGAATTCGAATGACATTCATATACTTTGCAATTTTTCATTCTTTTAGATCTCCTTGGCATCTCTGGAGAATGACAGTCATTTGAAAATTACATGTACATCTACAATTCACGTGTACACAATGCCTCATTTTATCTGGGGGAAAATTAACCTCTATCGCCTGTTGTTGTCAGGCCATTGATATCACCTGATGTGGACATTTACTTATCAAGTATACATGTATTTATTCGTGATTATGGCATATCACTGGATCAAACTCAAAATTCATTCAATAATACAAGTACGTTAACAGGTGAAGTAAAAGAAAGATATTTAAGTAAAAAAAGATATTTTCTTGTTCCCAGAAGAGTACTATTTCGTTAAGATTTTACTTTTAAACTTATATATACAATGTGGATTGTTATCTAGTATTTGTTTGACGTCGGCCGGCATTCATTATATTGGTTTTGCGAAATTAAAATATAAATATATATGTATCTTTAAGTTTGATACCAGAATATGTTCAAGAAAGTTTTAGATACGACACATACACTGTACCTCAAGGTTCCATAGTTAATAAATGGAATTTCAATAAATTATACTCTTGTTTTTACAATTACCGTGTTCATATTCAGAATTACCCTGGTGAGCTTGAAATAAAAGATACCACAGAGTTTGACACATCTGTTTTATATTTAGATATTTTAATTGAAAAAGATTTTACTGGTAAACTAACAACCAAGGTCTATGATAAACGTAATGACTTAAACTTTTCTATTGTAAACTTCCCTTACTTATGCAGCAATATACCGTCATCACCTGCATACGGAGTTAACATCTCTCAGTTTATTAGATACGCAAGAACATGCTCTACATACTAACCATTTCTACAAAGAAGTAAATTATTAACAAACAAGTTGATGAAACAAGAATTTCAGCAGTCTCGTTTAAAGTCATTTCGTAAGTTCTATGGTCGATACAATGCCCTTGTCAGCAAATACAATTCATCATTGAGTCGAATGCTGACTGACGTTTTTCATACTAATTGTTAGTGCACTATTTATACACTGAATTGACGACGGATTTTTCCGTTATTTCCCGATTATGACAAGGAGCACAAGGCGGATATGTGACCGGGGGGCAAGGGATGCTCACTTCTACATGGCACTTTGAGGTCCGTGTTTGCTCTGCTCCTATTTTTGTATAGTTTTATGGACTTTAATCTGGAATACTATTCGTTATCTCCACGTGTTTCCTGTTTACAAAATTACAAAAGGTAAGAAATAAACATTAAATTTAAAGCAATATGAGCTTTACTTTTGAGAATTTTATTTTGCCATTAAAATGTTTTATAATAATAGATTTGTATGTAATTTAAACCTTTATGTGCAATTAGACTAAAAAAATTATTATATTGTTTCAGAAGTTGACTTCTGTACAATCAAATACATAGTATTTTTTTAAGAAATCAATTTGTACACGATGGCAATAATGTAATTTTACTTCAATAATAGGGTACGAAAAAAGAAAAAGAAAACTATAATTGTTCCTTTTCTCTGTTATTGAAACAGTCAATTACAATTTTGCAATAAAAGAGATCTGACATCAAATTTGCAGCTCACATTGCTTTATACAACTTAAAAATCAGATCTAAAGTAAAACAAAAAAAGATGTTTTGTCTAACTGCGAATATGCATCATTGATAGATAATTAGATAACGATAATAGTTTGTGCTCTAAACTTTTGTGTAAATCATTGCTATATTATTCTAATATGTAGTATACTACGTAATTTCTACGACAATAGATTATAAGGAGAAATGTAATAGTGGTTTAATAATTTACCCCTTTAAGAAAAATTATAAATCAATGGGCACATTAAGAGAAATAATAGAAAAGGCCAATATAAATGATTTATTAATTTATGATTCAATATCCTCCAAATGCCATCAATCCGTTTCTTGAATAAGATAACCTGAGAAGGTAGAAAATCTCTCGTGCAAAAAATCTCCGTATTTGTCAGCTTTCTTAACCCAAACATGTGTTCCGGTGGTGAGTTTTGCTACTATTAGATTTCCTCCATTTTCCCAGTTCTCTGCATGGCTTACGAAACCAAACCCTAGCGGTCCATGTGTTGACATTAGAGTCGTGTCCATTCCAGACGCCTGATTGGTCAGAAGGTTCCAGTAGAATACGTAAATTCCATTCATAGGAACCGTAAAAATTCCGCTATTAGGCTCGTAGGAATTAGTTGTATCAAGAGTTTCCAAGTCAAACACAATTGGCTGACCTGTTCCAACGTTCGTCAGATCACGTGACAGCCGGGTGTGAAATGCAGGAAGTAGCCCAGCGGATATTGGGTTTGAGAAAGCTTTTTTGATACCTGTAAAAGCAGAAAACCACATAAATGTACTGCCACATTCAGACGTGCTACTATGATAAAGAAAAAGTTGAAAAATAACAAAAGCGACCCATATAAAAAAGTTCTATAAATAATACACTTACATGTGTGGGATCAGGTGTTAAGCTAGGAGGAGTACCCCCAGATCCCCCCCCCCCCTCGTTGATCGGTCATACTTGTCGTGACATATATTTATCGAAGAGGTAGACGGAAATTTCTTCAGTCAAATACATTGTAAAAACAATCATCATGTTAGTATAATTCCACCTTTGCTTCTATAGAGAACCATTTCCGAGTATACACATGTAATCATATATATGTTATTTTTTTTTTACATCTTAAGAATAAATAATTCAAACAATATATTACAAAGCTATTCGAAAAACTTTCAGAGAAAGATAAAAGGAATCGATGAAAAAACAGTGTTTAATTCAGTTGACAAATATACTCCTATTCAATTTAATTTTAAATACTGATGTTGATGAAAATAAATGCAGTAGTCAAGTTTTCATTTCTCCTCTATATACTTCATTTGGTGTATATTCAAGGAGCAATATTGCAAGGAAATTCTTACTGATTTCGTACAAAGATATGTAGTGCATGTTGAATTTCTCGTAAATATAGGAAAACCTAGAATAACTCCATCAGATTACCTACCCTTTTGTATGAGATATCCATCTGATTTTATCAAATTCCAGTCAACTTTGTACTTAGTGTACAGGCACCGACACAATACAACTAGGTGGAGATCACTTTTGATCTAAGTCTCACTTTTGAACAGTTTGACAGGGGATGCTCACTCCTCCAGGGCACCTGATCCCACCTCTGATGTTTTGGAGGTCCGTGTTTGCTCTTATCCTATTTTCTATTGTTTTATGGACTTTTGATCTTGAATACTGTTCCTTATCTCCATATGTTTCATTTTACAAAAGGAATTTATATGACAAAGTAAAATTGAGATAAAATTGACCTTATCTAATTTTAATCGTCCAGAAGACAATTTTGCGTTGTAGGTGAGTACACAAGACTGCATTTTGCATTATTTTTATATTTTCTTTTAAAAACTGTTGTTTGTGTTTTGTGTTTTGTAGGATCATCAAGTCTCTTGTAGACATAAAAAAAAAAATCCAAATACTGAATAAATTTAATCAAAACATGCAATAAATGATAGGACTGTATTAATTTTATCTTTTTTTTCTTATATAATCTTTATATGTGAAGACAAAACTAGTGAAGACATCGTTACATTCATAAATACACGCGTCCACTACTTCGGACATGAATCAATGAGCTTACGTTGATTAGTTTCATTGTCCCTTCCTAGGTAGCTTGTCGGGCAGTATTTGGTCTTTTCCAGGAGAGTGGAAATCGCAGCATCCTTCTCTCTGTTTTGTTTTTCGAGTTTTTCCAATCTGGACAGAATATCTGATAGATTGTCGTCATAGGAGGACTGCAAGGAAACGGAGATGTTTAACAGGATCACAAACAACAGTACAGACACCATATCGAAGAGGGCAATATATACACTATATATTAGTCATAATTATATTTGGTTCACTGTCTGATAAGAAACTGCAATTCCGTCATAATCTGTGAACCCTCTAATAGTGCGAGTCTTCTTATGTCCAGTAAATGATACCATCTCTAGTTTATGCGTCTTTTAAATTTCCGCTACTGAAATAAGAAATCCCTTCATTAATCTTAAAAAGATTTCAAACCATCTGAAGAAAAAAATTCATATAATCAAATTAATTTTGATGAGACATGTGTTTTCTATTGAATTTTCTTTGGAATTCTTTTTGGAAGTACTTTTGTATTACCTTAAAAAGAGAAACTCAGAAAACCCAAAGACAATACCATTGACCTTGATCTAAATACTTTGAAGGTATAGATATTATAATCTTCCTCTTGGCTTAAAATCTTAAGGGCATACATTATGGTGTCCAGTATAAGAATATGTGTGATTCGGAGAAAAATGATTCACAGAAAAATGTCCATAGCCCAATGAATTTAAACGGTTTTCATACAAATTGTTAGTCTATTATTCATACACTGAATTGACAGATTTTCCCGTTATTTCCCAATCATGATAAGGAGCACACGGCGGGTGTGACCGGTCGGCAGGGGATGCTCACTCCCCCATGGCACCTGATCCCACCTCTGATGTTTTGGAAGTCCATGTTTGCTCTGCTCCTATTTTGTTTTGTTTTATAGACTTTTGATCTTGAATACTGTTTGTCATCTACATATGTTTCATTTTGAACCAAGAAATTGTGATGATAGAGATTTTGACGCCATAGACGCTGTTAGACTTTTTATCCGGCGAATTGAAACTGCACTAGAGAACAAAGAGAGTCGCCATTGTCTCGGAAATACAAAAAAAAAATCCAGTTTAAAAGTGCGGATTTCTGTAATTTAAAGAGTGAAGGTAACAAAATTCAGTTCAAATCTAATGAGGAAAGACTCAGAGCTCTGGATTTGATCGAGAAAAAATTGACTTTAAACGACACTGGTGATATAATATGAGTAGAAATCAAAATAAATACTAATATTAATAATACACCCCTACTAATGTGTTCGGAACCTTTTATTTTTCGGTGTTCTGCAAATTATAAAACCTGATGAGGTCAGAGTAGCTCTGGTAGTGGCTCTGGTGAGAGTTAGCGAGACTACAGCGAGATAGAGAAAATTATTCAAGGAAATGTGGCTAGGAAGTGACTAGCACGTGGAGACATGGTAAACAGTATACACTTATGACTACGAGGTAAACAGATAAACAGTCAAACTGTTGTTCCTCGGTAGTGGGACGAGGGCAACAGTTTCCCAGGTCTTCCCCACTACCGAGGGACAACAGTTTGACTGTTTTACCGAGTAGTCACTGAATAAGTGTATTATTACCTAACCTACCATATATTTAATTAAATTGGAATAAAAATACACAAACAATCAATAAAGAGTTTTAACAACTGTTTATTCACTTACCTGTCTATTAAGGTAAGTCACTCGTCAGCTTTTTGGAAAAGTTCACGCAGAACCTCTTACTTCAAAACTATTTATCAAAATTAAATTTTTATAACATATTTAATTTCAACAATGTTAATATTTTAACATTTAATTAAAAAAAACTGTCCAAAAAGCTACAAAGAAGCAATATTTATGAGGGACTATTTTTTGTGGTGGAAGGATATTTAGCAGGTAATTCTGCAAATCTGCACATTTATTAAATTTAATTTCTTGGACTTTTAGCCTCACATACTTTTACTCGGAGATTATTTTCCATTATGATATTGCTAGGAATATTTAATATATGTCTTAATTTGTATTTTTAGAACAAGTTTTACACCATCCTGCGATTTCGAGTCACACTATATGAGTACTTATCCAAAATATACTTCTCAATAAATCTTTGATTTAACAAATTTCACGAGTGACATACCTTAATTAGCTGAACACATAATATAAAGATTAAATCAATATTAAATGATTTAAAGTAATACAAATTGATTGATTGATTGTTTGTGTGTTTTATTTCAATTTAATTAATTATAGAGCAGGTAAATAGTGATGTCGTGATCATCAAAATGCTTGAATATCACGATGACGCTTTAAACAGGCAACAGTTCATTCTGTGACCCGGTCAGCAGTTCGACTGTTTCATGATCACGCAAAAACATAAAATAAACCGTGAAACAGTTCAAAATGCCTATTAGTAATTACAATTTATATAGTAGGTTAGGTAATAAAAAAGTTTTGCTGCGTTTCAGTTTTCACCACCCTCTGATATCTGTAAGAATGTACTTCAATCGATCTCTGTTGAATTCATTCAATCTTAAATAAGTATTCTCTATGATACAATTTTCTGCAAAGATGAATTAAAATTTCTTTTTGGACAAATCATTTTGCATGGGAACCGGGACTATATTTTTTGGCGTCAGATTAGCAAATGCGGCACCAACATGACTTTGACTGATAAATCAGCTGAATGAGAATTGCATTATATGTTACTGCGAATACTACAGGAATTTTACGCTTGAAAAAAGGAAAATCTTATGGCGAACTGAAAGGCAGAAAGATCATTTTCCCATCCATTTCGTTAATGAAAAGCATCATTCTTTTAAAATTCTATTATTATTCATGCTCACAATGGCAAACAATTCATTTGTTATAGCGATTTGCGTCTGTATTAATTCCTTTGTTGTACTATACTAAAAGGTGAATACAATTTCCAGGCGGATTCCCTGGTCAAAAACACATGATCACGAGTATAGTTATGTAAAAATGTTTTGTCCATTTAAATGCATAAGAGAATCGGCTCGTTTTCTTTACCCTTGAAGCGCTGGTGTTCTGAACTTGAAACAAACTACATTTTATTAAACATATTTTTTCAACAATTAAAAACGTTCGTGACATCTTTCATAGTTTCTAATGTTTGTATTTTGTTCATAAGAAATATTCTTTTTATTTTGCAATCCATTATCATGATCATAGATTGACCTGAACCACGTGTTTGAAGTAAAATGTAAACGTGTAAGTATTTGGCGTAAACGTTGCTATACATTCAACAATTGGTCAGTTGCTCTGGTAAGATTCTCTGTGTGCATTAATAACAGAAGCCATATAAGGCAAACAAAGGTTCGTCAGTGTACATGATATTACACATTTTTCAACCAGCGTATTGGTCACTAGTGAGCTCTAATTTCCCCCGTAAATTATAAGATATATTGTTATTCTAACACCCCCCCCCCTTTAGCCACCTTTTTCTGTTGAAAATCATGAAAGTCTTTCAGAAAGGTCTGGAAACACATTTTTAACAGGACAAGTTTTCAAAAGAAACAGACTATAACAATTTCCTGTTAACTGCCAATTTTGTTTATAAAACCGGTTCTACCCTATAACCTTTGAATAGTCATGCAACGTAAACAACGTGTCTTGAATTTAAATCACAATAACAATAGTAGGGGTGTAATAGCGCCCTGCATTAATACATGTAAAATTTGTCAACAGAATTTGTATCTGATACAACTACATATATTTACATTTGCAAATATCTTTCTTAGATGAACCTATTGAAGAGAAAATATGTTCAATTCTGTATGAACTTATTTGGGGATCAGAAGTCATAGCGCGACCGAATCACAAGACGAGATGATATCCTGTTTACATAAATTTAAATGGATGAAAAAGATAAAATAAATGAAACATGTAGATATTTTCATTCAAAAGATGTTCAATAGGTCTACCTTTGGTGTGAAGAATGTTTTAAATACTTTAATTAGCCTAAAATCGCACTCCCCGTTTTTAACCCGAAATTCCTTTGAAGTTATGTAAATTAGAACAGAAGATATCACCCCTTTTGACTTCAAATATAATAAGCTCGTATAGTAATATCATTCTCAGTTGGAATCATTGTTCTTACATTATAAACGAAGAATTCATGAACTTGACTGCTGAACACCATTGGGCGTATTTGATTTAAACACGAGTTGCAACTCTCGAGTCGGATTTCTTAATCAAACACCTCGAACACGACGCGCGTGTTGTATAATTAGGTCACGGACATACTCTCCAATTTTACAAGAGTGAGCAAGAACAAAGATGGCTGCCAACATTGACAATGGAAGGAAAGTGAGGCAAGGCAGATGTTTGGTTAAGAGTTTTGAAATAAATTATTTTAATTATTAAATAAGGATATTGGCTAATATTTCAGACAAGAGCATATAAAAATATTGAATCACTCACAAATTTTTGCTACATTACATCCTTTTTTCGTGGATTTTAGGCAGAAGAAAATAAACAAGATATTCGTCGTTTTTCCCAGTATCGCCTTATTCCTTGCTTTTCAAAAATCACCAATAAAACATGGGCAAAACAATGTCTGGATATTTTCAATGCACTCGAGTTGCGTTCTTGCCGTTTGAATAAAAAGATACTGTGTTTGTTTTTGCGCATGCTCAATATCAACCCGACTCGACACTAGAGTTGGCAAATCAAATACGTCCATTGTAAATATTCAAATGTTGCAAGACCAAACAACTTCTAGGTCATCGCGCTTCACGACATAGCAATACGGCAGCCCGTTCGTGTAGCAAATGCAGTTTAAATCGGAATTTATTCGTCTTAAATGTAAATAAAAGTGATCAACAACAATGTTAAAAAGTTCACTGGGAAATTCCCCAGAGAATTTTGAAAATTGTTGTTTATTTTTTAAGTACGTGTAGGCTAAGTTGTCATATATGTAAACATTCATATATTAGGTTCTTAAAACCTCATTTTAAAGGTGCATAGACACAGATTTGAAATTAATGTTTTCTCAGATTTTCTGTATAATATTACGACTTATATATTGCAATAGCATTTAACAAGAAAATATAATAAAAATCTTATTACATTTTGAAGCTATCGAAACTTCGGATAAAAATATTAAAACTATAATCTAAAAAAAATCAGAGTAAAAATGTTCGAAAGGATAACACGCTCATAGTATATTGTCAGTCCGTGCTCAGTGGTGTGTGCAGACTTCAACAACGGAACACACCCGGTGAATCGTAAACATTAACAATAACAGAGCTGGTGCCCTGTTTACAAAAACAGTTTATGTTTCAGGGGTGTATTCAATTTGTTAAACTCTGTACAGAACACTGAGCACGGACTAACGATATTAGTGAGAATGTTTTACTTTCGAACATTTCTACTCTGAATTTTTTGTATTATAATAATAGTTTTATTATTTTTCATTGATACACAACAAAATTGCCACTTTAATTAAGTATTAAGAATAAAACTATAATTTGTGAAAGTGCAAGGATGTGTCAACCCGACCAGAAATTCAATAACTTCGAGATGAAGTGTCCATGCACCTTTAAGAAGTCAATATTATTTTTGGCTATTTGTTCGTGATATTATACAGAAATATTAACTTCAAATCTGTGTCTATGCACATTTAAATAAAGTTACGATTTGAATGAAATCGATTAATACTATACATTGATCGGTGTATTCACTAGTCTTGCGCCGTCACGGCGGAACCAGGCGATTTCTTTTGTTTTATTTTTACTTGCTTTTAATACCGTAGAGAAAATAATGTGACCTAAATTTCATAGTTTCGAATGTTAGAATTTATTTCACCCTTTCCTACGATCAAAGAAATTGATTCCGAGAATTAATTCTGTCTTGTTACACAGAAAATCCGATGATCTGAAAGTTTATATATCCAAAACCATTGATTATTTCATTTCCGAAAATAGAGGTTATTAAGTTTTGATAAACACTCTCTGCTTGGCCATGATATATGTAACATTTTATTATTAAATAGTTTAATTAATTACGTTATTTATTTATTCTTTTCCTTATACGCTTTGATATTTCTTTTAAGGATTAAAAACCAAGGGAAAAACTTTCTTTTTTTCTTCTTGGTTGAAGAAATTGTATTTTAGTTTAAAAAACGAAAAAGAAACTAAGAATACCTGAGTAGTTTCTTCCTGTAGTAAAGATAAAAAGCGAGGGTTTCCGAATATACACGATAAACGCAAAACACGATACACAATAGAACCTGATAAACGATCTAGACGATAAATGCAACACACGATAAACGGAAAACACGTTAACTAGAAAACGCAAAACTTGATGTTTACTCATCTAAGGCACCAGATCCCATCTCTTAATCAAATCCCAAGGTAACCAAGCTCATTCATTCGTTCGTTGGCTTTCATCATTTTAGTTTATCTTCAGTTGTTAATTCAGTTAATATCGAGGTCATTCATGTTGATAAGATAAAATATAATGTGCAGCGCTAGCATTCAGCAAAACTCGAATTATCATGATTTGATTTTATCTTCTCTGTGTCCTAATATCAGAAATATTTTTACCCTTTAAGTAAAGTTACTCGTCTAAGTTATTGTATGAATTTTGATTTGAATTCTCGTCGTGACTCTGAATACACAAGAAATGAATGTTTACGCATTCATTTACATACATAGATCTTCATTTCAATATCACAAGATAACAGACTGGCTTAGTCAACATAACCGGTTGTTGAAATCATTTTTCTTTGTCTGTGAGTGTGACAAATTGCATATAAAAATATGGACAAGGATCTCCTCCCAAACACCACGAAACATACTCTATGTATTGTGACGCCATTCACGAGGTTGCCCAGAGTTATACAGGAACAACTTCCGTCCCTTAAGATTGTAAACTTTCCGCTGTCTGGAGGTTTGTCTGTATCATTTATTACTATTTTCCCCCTTTTTCCTGTTTGTGATTACCACATAAATGTTATAAAAGAAAACTGAGTATTGTTTTCTTCTAAATATTTTAGGTTTGTTAAGCATGTTTTTTTTAAAAGTACGGACTATAGTGGCTGCAACTTTACAGTTGGCAAATTACACGAGCAATAACGTTTCAGGAACGAGTCCGCACGCTTATCGTACGATTGAACGTGTTACACGAACGATCCTTCACCAACTATGTTCACGCACACGATTCTACACGTTGATCTTACGCGATTGCTAACGCAAAAGCACGATCATTGTTATTAAATAATTTGGCAAATTACCAGTATTACAAATCATTTATTTGCAGAACTTATAAAAAGTATCAGGTATAAGCGCCAGAAAAAAAGTAACCCAGACAATCATGTCGTGTACTCATACATTCGCCTACCAAATATTTAATAGGGGATAAATTGATTGATTGTAACGATATACATCTCTAATATACAGACAAAGAAAATATCTTGATCACAATTATCAATAAACTTAAATAACATTAGAGAAAAGATTCTTTACCATTATATATACATTTGTGGTATCTTTCCATTTTATAAACATACAGAGATAAAATATTTTCAATTTTGTATGAAGTTTGTCAGAGGTCAGATGTCAATACATTGCCGTATCACACGGCGCAGTAATATCTAACGGTACATAAATACACATGTATATGTAAAACAAGTTGCTGTCCTTTAAAAAAAGGACTACAATACGTGGACCATATGCATGTGTTTCTAACCGAAATTCAATTTATTAAAGAAAATTTCTAAGTTTATTGGATATTCATGTAAGTCGTTCACATTTTCTACAACGTCATCCCACAGGTGCTTGAGGACAGGACCCCCCCCCCCCAATATAGACCCCCGGGCCTGTTCGACTTTTTTCACATAAATTATATATGGATGACACATTTGTGATAGAATCTATCCTATCAATTCAGAAAATTTGCTTAAACTTAAATTTTATAAAAATATCTACCCTCTCTATATATAAGAGAATGTAGGGTAGATTTAATAGAACGTTTGTTTTAGGTAATTTTTCGATTTGCTGGTACAGATCTTATCACAAATATGGTAATGACAGATTTTTTATGAGAAAAAAATCGAAAAAGCCCAGGGGTCTATATCGAAGGTGGTGGGGGGTGGGGGGAGGGGTCCTGTCCTCAAGCACCTGTGCGTCATCCGCCTACTTTGACTATTTTGGACTATTTTGATATATATAACCCATAATGGTTAGGACTTTACATATACTAGAATTCTAGATTTATTCAGAAGAGATCTATCATTGGAAAATTAGATCTGATGCTACACGTGTAGCAAAACTCTATAGTACGCAGATTTTGTTTTGGTAGCCCCACCCAACCCCTTCCCTCACATGGAAAACTGTTGCTACAGATCTGTATCAAGCTGTTTTTGGATTCCTGTGTATCAAATTATTATGCGAGCCTTGATGCTCAAAACTAATGCCTGTGAAGACTTGTTCTATTTTTTAAAAGCTAGAACTAGTCGTTGAATGAATTTTTTAATTCAAGTTGTTGAGTTATCTTATATATGGTATATACTGCAAGTTCTTCCAACGTATGAGAATGCTTGTGCCATAGAATGAATTTTTAGTTATGTGTATACATTAGAAATTTGGATCCACCAATGAACTCTCAATCGCATCATCTCGGGTCTTTCCGTTCAGAGGTCGTAAAGCTATTCGGAAAAGCCGATTGGTGTAGCAGAGTCAGCCGAGGATGGCCGATTGGAACTCTCTAGCATTCTCGCGCATGCGTAGCCTGGCGTATGCCCAGGGCATCCGGTTTAACCTCGCTTATATATTTACTGCATGGACCTCAGGGCTGACATACACTTCGGCGTTCATAGTTCAATGTAAGCTGTCGCCAGTGTCTCCGTGTTTACCAGTGTTTACAAGATAAATATGCCTTTAGTTACTGAAATCGTAGATTGAATGTTTTTGATCAAATTTAATACTTGATTTCAAATTAACTGGCTCGGACAAGTGCCTCAATCCATCGGATCCATCCATCCCTTTCAGGCGACCGAAATTCCTCCAACTTTTTATCATCAAATTTCGGAAGTGTTTCTTGTGTCTTTTCAGCATCGATTATCAATTTCCACGAATAAAAATATTCCCAGACAACAATCTGTTCACTATTACTGATCACAAGTAGCCTTTCCAAAATATTTCCTTAGCCTAGTGAATTCGAAGCGTAACCGCTTTTCAAGTCGATTTGCACCTTGGGTACTTTTGTCGGAAATCTACGGCGACCGGCTAGTGCAATATTTTTATCCGAATATATTTAATTGTCCATCTCAAATGTATATATAAGTAATAAATAACAAGTCTATAAACTTCAGTGGGAATTATAGTAGGTCGGTACGTGATCAAATCTTCTGAGAAGGCCTTCGGCCTTCACAGGATTTGATCACGTGTCCGACCCACTTCAAATCCCATTGAAGTTTATAAACATGTTATTTATTTCTTAATTGAATATGGTTTATCAATAAAATTTATGGTATTATAAGAGAATGCAATTTTGTACGACTTCCTATATTGCTTACATGTACTTTCTAGCAATAATGAGTTCGTTCAATTAATATGTAAATTGCGCGTCATTTATTTTATTTCGATAAAGAAAAGGCAAGGAAAAATTATTGTTTTTAACATGTTACATTTCAATAAAATCTTACAAAGGATGACTTCACGTAAGAATATGTGAAATTCGCGTCAAAATAATTTTTCAAAACAGTATGTAATTTGGAAGTACGAATCTGTTTTCTAAGGCGAGTTATCACAATTTTCTCAATTTTCGTACGTACGTAAAAAGTTAATATATTTTTAAGATCAAATATTTCATTTATAGCGCACACTCCGTTATCAAAGGATTGTTGGTTTCGGAAAAGTATAATTGATTGATTGGTTGTATATTGTTTAACGTCCCATTCGAGAATTTTTCACTCATACAGAGACGTCACCGTATGTCGGTGAAGGGCTTCAAATTTAGACCTATATTCGGCACTTAGGGCCATTGAGCAGTGAGGGTTTTTTATCGTGCCAACGCCTACCGTGACACGGTACCTACGTTTTTAAGGTCATATCCGAAAGACCCGTGACTTTCACTTCTAGTGCCGAGCGCTTGGCGAAGGAACAGTCACTGCCTATGTCACCTCTACTAATGTGTTCGGAACCTTTTATTTTTCGGTGTTCTGCAAATCATAAAACCCGATGAGTTCAGAGTAGCTATGGCAGTGGCTGTGGCGAGAGTTAGCGAGACTACAGCGAGATAGGGTAAATTATTCACGGAAATGTGGCTAGGAAGTGACTAGTACGTGGAGGCATAGTAAACAGAAAAGTTATGTTGCGTTTTGGTTTTCACCACCCTATAATATCATTCTGTAGAAATGTACTTCAATCGATCTCTCTTGAATTCATTCAAATTTAAACTATAAGTTTTCTATATGATACAATTTTCTGCTGTCATGAATTAAAATTTCTTTTTGGACAAAAATTTTGCTTTGGAACCGGGACTATATTTTTTGGCGTCAGATTAGCAAATGAGGCACCAATGTAACTTTAACTGACAAATCAGCTGAATGAGAATTGCATTATCGGTTACTACGAATACTACAGGAATTTTACGTTTGATAAATTCCTTTATTGTACTGTTGGTGAATACACTTGTCAGGTGGATTCCATGGCCAACACACTTGATCACGAGTATAGTTATGTAAAAAAATGTTTTGTCCATTTAAATGCATACTCTTTTCCTTACCCTTGAAGTGCTGGTGTTCTGAACTTGACACTAACCACGTAAATATTTTATTAAGCATATTTTTTTCTAGTTAACAACAAATTACAAACGTCCGTGATATCTTTCATAGTTTCGAATGTTTGCATTTTGTTCATAAGAACATTTTTTTTTTATTTTGCACTCCACTGACATGATCATAATATGACCTGAACCACGTTTTTGAAGTAACATGTAAACATGTATTTGGCGTAAAGGTATTCAATCAACAATTAGTCAGTTGCTCGTGGTAAGATCCTCTGTGCGCCTTAATAGCAATAGCATATAAGGCAAACAAAGGTTTGTCAGTGTAGATGATATTACACATTTTTTTTCAGCATGTCGCACGCTAGTAAGCTATTTAATACCCACCCCCCCCCCCCGTTTTAGCCACCCATTTCTGTTGAAAATCATGAAAGTCATCAAGAAAGGTCTGGAAACACATTTTTCACAGGACATGTTTCCAAAGCAATCTCCTGTCTACTGCCAATTTTATTTATAAAACCGGATCTACCCTATAACCTTAGAATAGGTAAACCTAAACCACGTGTCTTGAATTTAAATCACAATAACGTTAGTAGGGGTTTATGTTTACGTCTTAGGTTTGACGCGGCGCCGCGAACGAGAATCGAACCCGGGCCGCCCGATCACGAAGCGAACGATCGATCACTAGGCTACCACGACCGGTTTTCGGAAGAGAACATTATTTAAATATACTGTACTTTATTTCCAATTCTGTATATGTGTCTTTAAAAGAGGAATCATTTTTGATATTTTTTATTATATTTTATACTTAATGTACATACATTTATAAATTTTTCAGTTGTTCACATGCCACCCAACATGGATAAATTGATAGATGTTGTGAAAGAAAGCGAGGCTGATATAATTTTAACTTGGCCACATATTGTTGTTAAACTTCTACAAAGTGGAAAATGTACAAACATAAAATGGTTTCAAGGCTGTAGCGCAGGCAAGTGCTGTTTTTATATTGTTTTTTCTTCCAAGTAGATTGTAAAATGGAAATTTCACACTATGAAATATAACTTGATTAATGACTGACAAATCTACAAAATTTAGGTATGAAACAATTTTGATCCATTGATTACTTAAAAGTGAAATTCTCTGTTCATTTGTTCTGCATTATTATACATGTACATGTATAATCTTTATTTTACTGGATGTTTTATTTAGGTGCAGAAGTTTTGTTTAAAGCCTTTTCTGAGGTAAACCTCCAATTTCTAGAACTTTTATAAATATACAACGGACACAAACACATTTAATATATATTTTTTAATCTCACAAATGAACAGCTAGTTTATTTGATGAATCAATCCTTTCTTCCTACAGAAAATAAGAAAACAGTTAAAAAGTATGATGTATTCAGCATTATTTTTTTATATAATGTAGTTTTATCAGACTTTTTCTTTTAAGACAAAACACTGATTTTTTACTTTTATTTTACATAGCAGCCGCAAAACGTCATTTTCACAAGAACTGGTGAAGGGTTTGGTGAATATATGTCTGAATATGTTTTAGGACAAATAATTTCTAGGGAACATTTTTTCCCGAAAATGTTAGAATCTCAAAGAGCAAAGAGATGGGAGAGGTAACTTTATACTTTTATTTGCATTGTGTCTTTCTTTTCTTCGAGGGAAACATAATATAAGGACGTTGGAAAGAGTATAAAATTCGTGAGTTTAAAAAAGCAAATAATTTTGAAGAAAAAAATTATCGAAAAACAAAAGAATAAGCTGAAAAAATCAGCTAAGGTGCACATCCAAACATTTTGATTTGGCTCTACCAAACAAATATTTCTGGAGAAGTTGAAAAAAGTCATCAGATTTACGAATTCTTTTTTCTATAATACATTGTATGCATAATATTTTGCGAGGGAAATGGAGCGGCATGTCCACTCTAGTGCCCCCACCGATGTTGAGAATAGATGTTTTCTTTAACGTTTTGCACAGGATAGTTCAAATTAAAAGTTTTTTAAACATAGTAAACAGAGATAAGTCCTTTTTTACATTCTTTTACTGTTTGTTTTGCGAACGCGTCTTTTTAAACAATCGCTGTCTAGTTTGTTCTGTATGCTAGGCCATCAAAAGTTGGATACGTGGGATAACTTACATAGTCAACTGCCGTTGATGATGTCCCTGGCATATCCAACAAACTACACAGTGATTCCTTAAATTTACATTTATATGTGCAATAGAATTGAAAAAATAATATAAATTTTTTAAATGCTGTCTATCAAATTTACAATATACGAAGATTCTCGTGTCAATATTTCAATATTCCCCACCCACTGACGTCAGACACAAAGACAGGTGCACTGGATTGACATGCATATTAGGCACTTGACCTTTCATTTGGTGAAAGTTACATTCTGGTTTAATTATAAAGAAATCAAGTCACCCAATATTCTAAGAGTTGTCAAACAGAAAACTATCAGAAATGTAAATATTTAGTTGTTAATTCGTCTGTTTTTTTTAATATTTAAATTCTTTCTTCGCCTTTTTCTCACTAAATGATCAAATAAAATTTAAGTTAAAAATACAATCAATGAAATAATAATTAGAGATTCGAATGGAAAATTCTTACATTGAAAATGCAACTATATATTTAACAGAGGTTCTTATAATTATTATGATATGATTTACGTTTATTGTAGAACATGGTATGTCCAGAAGCGCTCGTTATCGATGTTGACTATTGGATTGTTGGGTACTGGTGTGATTGGATCAAAAAGTAATATAGAGATATATTTATGTTACTAAACTATCAAATATTAAAACTTTATACTAAACTAAAAATCACTCTCTACGTTTGCAAAGCAAAATAAATGGCCTGCAATGGTTGATAATTATGAATTAAAGAAGGTCGCAAAACTCGCAGAAATAAAATTTGTTTTGCAGTAGAGAGAGAGAGAGAGAGAGAGAGAGAGAGAATTTCAGCAAAACCCGATATGCTAGATAAGGTACCTTTAAAATAACCAAGTATTCAGAGTGTTGGCAAATTAATTATTTTTTTCAGTCGCAGAAGTTTGCAAAGCATTTGGCATGATGGTTTGGGGATTGTCAAGAACTAAAAAGGAGGCATCAATTCCACATTTTGACGTTCTTATGTAATTGTGTTCACAGTATTTCCTTCTGTTTTAATTTTAAAACAATCGGTCATAGTACATGTATGTTTATATTGGAGTATATAAAATATACTCATAATAAGTAAAGATTAACGAAGTCGGCAATTATTTAAGATAGTTTAACAATTTAATTCTAATATTGAATTTATTAACCAACTATTCATTAAAGATTTTATTTGTTTTGAAAACTTAGGGAGAAGAGCGAAATCTCGAAGTTCCTTGCAGGCTGTGACTATGTTTGCAGTGTTCTACCAAGCACAACAGATACCATAGGGATGTTGTCTGGGAATATTCTACAAGCCTGCCAAGAGAAGGTTACCTTTTTAATCCTTAAATAAAGTGTTTAACAATGAATAACAAAATTAAACAATTTCTAAAAAGATATATAAAAAGATGTATACAGTGGAGCCTCATTTATCCGAACGCTTTGGTTCCCAGTCAATTTGTCTGGATATGTGAAACGTCCGGATACCTGAATCACCAGTTAAACAGGACATAATAAAGTTTAAAAATTCCATTCCGATGAAAAATCGTCCGGATACTGAAGCATCCGGATATCTGGCGTCCGGATATCTGAAGGTCCACTGTACACACACACACACACACCCTCACACACACACACACACACACACTTACGTGTGAAGGGTGTCAAACGGGGACAGGGGTTAAAGACTGTCAAAGTGGGGACTTCTTCATTTTTAATATTTCATAAACTTTTGACTTAAAATATTTATCACCATGTAACCCTGATGACAAATATAATGAGAACATATCAATATCTTTAATTTTAAGCTAAGCACATTTCACAGCACAAACGGGGACCTATTTCACACTCATTAATATTCACACACCAGTTCTAGTTTTCTTGTATCTAAACGGGGACATTTTCTAAAACGAATAAAATCCCTTCTTTGGTGCCTTTTATTCACTTATTACCACCGTTCTCATCACTGATTAAGACCCTTGTCTTCATAGGCACTTGAATGCTTAATATCTTAAATCAAATATGGAAATTACGAACATTTATTGCATGATGAAAATATTTTTTTAATTTTTATTTTCAAATAATTTTGAAATTTAGGAATCTGTTTTAAATTTTTCAATTTGGCATCACTGACCTCTTTGTCGCAGTGCCATGATTAATGGAATTTAAATATGGTGATTGCAACATAGTTTGCAAAATTTAAAGCTACTTGTTTTACATGTAATTTATGATTTTCCAAATTTTTTGTCTCAGAATTAGAGTATTGAACCAGACAAAATGATTGTCATTTGACATACTTACAACTATAAAAAATATAACACAAGGTCTGAAGGGGGCGCTGATAATACCACTCCAAAATATGACAAATTTCAAAATGAAAAGATAATCTTTTTTCATAATGGTCAGCTATTGAATATAATCGATAGACACTTTAAAATCAAATCCAATGCATTTACGTATACGCTTCATTACAGAATCGGAGTACGACGACTTCTTTAAAATATTTACATTACATTGCATCTTTGATCAGGTACTTTTATTTAAAAAAAAAACATTAACTAAAAAATCTTTCAAAGCAAAGACAATTATTCATTTTTTGTTTTACGCAGAAAACCCGGTCCGATGATCCGGAAGCATCATACATGTGCAGTATTTTTAATGGCACAAAATGTTTATGAATACATTTCACTAAAGTCAAATAATTTTGTAACGTGTTTGCCTAACACATATACTATATGATTTTTCTCAGGGTCTAGGGCCCCCTCAGATACCTTGCTGAGGAATTTGATTGTTGACTAAAACTTATTTACATATGCAAAATATACAGATATCGGGTGCTTCCCTAGCACGCAAATAAACGAAATAATAAATTAAACCGCCTCTTAATCAATTGGGCTTCTATCTCTGAAGCGACTTCCAGAAGCGCCCCAAAGAAACAACCAAAGCGCCAGCACGTCGCTTCTCCCAGAAGCAACAGGTTACTCTTAGATTAATACAGAAAGTCCGTTTATGCAACGCTCACGTAGACTGTTACATACTACTGGGTAAAATCTGTTCTGCACATCGCATAGCAATTATGACTTATGAACAGACTTACCGCTGTTGTCTATTTCTTTGATAATACCGCACTTCTCCGCTGGCACTCTATCAGCAACTGACTCTATCGAGTCTCGAGGCCTTATATATACTATGAGTATATCACGTGACATACCCACTCGGAATGTCTGGGCTCTCGGCGTTTTACGAGCTCAGGGTCCCTTCGGAACGCCCTGTCTCCTTCCCTTAATTATCTATTTCCGTTACAATTTTATTTTTTATAAGAAATATACAAATGAACTAAATTAACAGAAATATAAAAAAAACAGGAGTTAAATACATGTATGTTTTCCACAACCGTTACTTAAATTATAAAAGAAAATTTACAGGACATTTCAGTTGCGACTGCTGCAAATAGGGTACTTTAAACCAATTAACTTTTTGCAAAATCACCTGATTGCTTGAGATATGTATACTGTACCGTAAGGGTGAGTTCGAGCACCCTCGTCCTCATTGTTAAAAAACTTATTTTAGAAAGTAGACACTGGTGTTGTAGAGTTGCATTTCCCCCATAGCCAACCCCCAACTGCCCCACAGGGAATCGTACTCTAGAGCAGAATATCCCTCCAAGGGGAATTCACACACCAGAACCAAACTACTCCTTGAAGTTCTCTCTTTCTCAGAGTAGGATTTCCCATCCCTTGTCATATAGAGAGTAAATATAAACCACAGCCGGATTATAACAAGAATAGATATGGGTTACCCCATATCCAAAGATATTCGACTGTTAGATTTAATATGTTTAACAGTGTTTATAACGACGTTAATAAAAAAAAACTACACTGTCTAATTATTAAACTGTTGTAAATATCGTGATTCCATAGCATTACGGTTACCCAGTCTCCTAACAAACAGTACACATAGGCCTACATGTACCTGTAGCCTTGGTCTACACACGTGCAATGGAGCTGTCACACGCATCCAGCGAGATCGGAGAAACACGTTTTGTTTTGCCGAGAAGTTACGGTGTCAGACAAAACTTTTCTTTTCTTAATTAGATCATATAAATACGAATTCTGATTAATAAAAATTATACAATCCCTGTTGAACTTTATATAGTTTGTTCTAACATTTGCATCTGCAACAACTTGTGTTTAAAATGGCCGGGTTGGGAAAATCAGGACCGGGTCGGAAAATTCTAAACTGAAAACATGGAAAACCTTTTTTGTTTTGAAAATAACTGAAATATACTAATATATTTGTCGCAGAAATTACTTACATTATTCAAGTTCTATATATAATGGTATGCTGAACTTCAACACGAACCCGAATCTCCAACCCATGCAGTTCTCGTTTTGCCACACATACCCTACAGTTTACGAAGTGTACACACGAGCAGGCCAGGGATTGAAAATTCCGTCATTTAATAATACACACACACAGAATGATTAATTTTTTCTTTAAGAACAAATTGTATGATAATTAACAGACTATAAACATGTACTTAATACAATTGTTGATATAGTATTATCAATTCATTGGTGAAAAGATATGAATCGAAGAATGACCTAATTATTCTCTGTTATCAAACACGTAAAAAAAAAAAGGCTGAGGAGGGAGCGAGCGTAGGAATATTGATATTTTTTATTTGCATTTCGGGGGGAAAGTGACTTTCTAATGATATTTTGACGTTATTTTTGATTTCTTTAACGTATGACATACACAACTTTACTCTTATCATGAACAATAATGTTGTATCTACTTATCATGATGGAATTATTTTGGTCGGACCAATATGTGTGAGCTGCCGCTGAATACAGTTATATATCTTGCAAAGATAGTATGCATTGATCGAATATATAGATAAAATAAACGACAAACAGATTTTTGAATGGTAAATGAGTGTTTTTCAACTTATGTACATTTAGGCAGTATATATTTCAAATCATGAACCAAAATGTTTAGCTTTCAAAAGAAACGCAAATCTTCCCAAATTAGATGTATTAACACCTCTAATGGCTTTAGCGGTAGATGTATTTTTAATGTTCTTTTTGACAAGGCTGTTAAGTCCTTTATTTATGCATACTTTTTATTACTTATATTTTGCTTGAATCCCATGAACAGAAGAATTGTTTAAGTTTGAATCATGTGAAAACGAATTTTAACGTCTACTGATTTTTTCCTCCATAAAAGTTACGCAGTAAAATGTGAACAATTCCCTAGAAATCTCTGCGAATGGACAAATGGGGGGGGGGGGTTAGTAGTGGACAAGTTTTTTTCAAAGGCAAGTTACTTTCAATTCCAATTCTTCGACCCGCATTATACAACTATATTACTTCAAGAGAAATGCTTACTCAGTTGTTGAACATAAAAAAAATGCCATAAAATGAGGTTTAATATTATTTCAAAATAGCTGTGATTTTGTTCTTCATTAAAAAGTGGGGGGGGGGGCACAGACATATCCCCCCCCCCCCCCCGATCTGAAAGTGGGGGGCTTGTGCCCCCGCTGCCCCCCCCCCCCCTGTGACTACGCCTATGTATGTTAAGGGGCTAATCATCGTGCATTAGTCCGGAAGCTAGACCCCGGTCATTCGTAATCCTTTATTTTTTTTAATTACTTTTATATCGGTATAATAACAAAGTCAAAAAATATATAATTGGTGAGTTAGCAAGATTCTAGTTCCCCTTGACCAGGACTATTTCCCGAGACACAGTCACTATTATTCGCTTACTAATGAAACCACGCCCCCAAGCGTAGCAACAATCAACGCTGCTTGATGACGGTGATATCATTAAAAATATTGATTGTGCAGAATTCATGCGCACGTGGTTCATTATACCCCCGCTTGAAAAGTGGGAGGGTATATATAAAAAAAATGTATGCCCGTCCGTCAGTCTGTTACGCTTTGGGGTACCCATCTCTTATCTGCAACTCCTCTCATACCACTGAAGGAAATTTTTAATGAAACTTTCACAGAATCTTTATTACAGATTGCCATTGTGCACCTCCTATTTTATTTTTCCATCAGACATATATTTCGAATTTTCCAGAGCAAAACATGGATACTGCCATTATATTCAGATGAAAGGCGGGGGTATTACATGTATTTAGGGAGCTCATTGCTCACAGTACCCCTAGTTGTAATATGTTTTCATAGAATATTAAAAATATTATAATGCATAAAGCATGAAGTTAAATGCTACTTTGGAATTCTCACCCTTCGAAATCTTTGGCAACATTAGATGCGCCTTAGTTGACAATGGTTTTCTTTGCGTGAAGCCCCGTGGGGATCC